TATACATACATACATATATATACACTTACTAAAGCGTGTTTTGATAAGCATTTGCTCACTTTTTCTGCTAAAAAAAGAATTATGATTAGGCTCTCCATACAGGGGGCAGAAATAAAGCCTTAATCACCCATTTATTTAAACCTCTGAAACAAATTAATAAAATGGAAAAGGATAAACAATTCTTTTGCCATAAGATTATGTCTAAAAATTGAACTTAAAAAACAGAGCATATTAAAGAATTTTGCAAGTATTCTGATATAGTGCTATATGAAAATATCTAGATGAATAATTAATGTAATTAGAAAAAAAAATGCTGTTAAAAAATTAGTTATAAATAAATAAATTACAAATCATCAGGTGAATGGGGTTTGGGAAACTCCATAAATAATAATTAGAAAATTTTAAATTTTCCTTGAAATTAAGTTCAGTATAGGGCTTTTTTTAATATGGGCATACTAGCAATATTTATTTTTTTGATATAACAAACAAACAATGTAAGACTTAATTACTACATAATATACAAATGCTAATTAAGTTAATAATCTTGATAGATTGCTTATTTTTTGAGCATTCGAAGTCTGATGTTAAATTTGCATGGTATTATACATTAATATATTTACATTGTCAAAATTAAAATGGTAACTTTTTTATAGAATAAGAATAGTTTTTATATATAATGAGAGTATTACAGTTGTTAGTACAATAAAACAAAAAATAAAGGTTTTCATACAGTATGCCTAGATATATAACTTACTTAAAGCTAATTTAAATTTTTTATAAAAAATTTATGTTAAATTGGTGTTTATACATCTAATTGTGCCTTTAATGGCCAAATACTAAAATCATACTAAAGTAAAAATAAAACTATTCCAAAATTTATGTCAAAAAAAACCTGAAAAATTGTTAAAAAAAAAGCAATACAACACCAAAAAAACAAAAAAATCGCCAAAAATAACAAAAAAACACGATTTTTTGACCCAAAACAACGCCAAAGGAAAAAAACGCGTTTTTTTGCAACTCTAATTATATCTGACTTATTTAACTTATTTTCAAGATATAGTCTTGTTTGTTCAGCATTACATGTACTTTTTATGTGAACTAACCCCAATACATACACTTCAATTTTTTGAAATAAATTATCAACAAAGGCATGCAGTGTAACATTTATTCATATTATTTATTCATAGAGTTATCAGTCAACTCATCTGCTGTTAGTGACAATTTAACATTTTATTTAGAATCTTGATAATACTGTTTCTTTTTTTTGGTCTTGGCAATCTGAGTTGCTGCTATGTTTGGAAAGTATGATAACATGGAACGGATGCAGGTTCTTTACCATTAAAACGATCCTTGAAGTCACAAAACTCTATTAAAGAAAAATTATCAGGCAGAAAATTGCATAATTTTTTTAGAAAAGTTTTGAATATTTTTGAGAAATTTGTATTTAATTTTTTTCATTTTGATATGGCCATGAACATGGTTTAAAGCATTGTACTGATTGGGTTATAATATGATTTTCATCAACAGATTCAATGTGTGACTTAATAAACAAACATTTAATACAAAAAAAAAAAATTAGCAAAAAAGAATTGTAGCCGCATTGATTAATGTCTTTAAGCTTAATTAATGCCATTAAAATACTTGAAACTGTTATTGCTGGAAAGTATTCTTTTTAAAACTTTCTAATTGTTTTATTTTATTGCAAGTTTTTTAGATCTCTGTAAATTATAAAACTTTAAATTTAATTGTAAGTAAAATAAAAGAGTCTTTAACTAAACCAAAAATTAAAATAGCTGTTTAACTTCAATAAAAATCACCACGCAAAAGTGAAAATGATCTTTTACTTTTATATATGTATATTAGGCATTGCCTAGATCAAGAACAGTTGCATTTAAAAAAAATTCAAAAACGTGATGTGTTGGTGGAATGGTTGCAAAAAAATATGTAGAGAAATGGAACAATTTTTTTAATTTGTCAGCTAAGGCGTTCCCCTCTACCTTTACCCCCTGAGTAAAATGCATAGTGAAAATATGAAAGAAAAGTTACTTGTTTTTTGTCATACTATCAAGGATTCTATGGTATCTAACAAATTGCTTATCAAGTAGAAGCAATAAAATTATAAAGACTGTTTGTAATTCTTGTTGAATAATAAAAACTAGAACAAAATAGAAAGTTGCAAACAAACAAAAAAATAGAAAAAGAGTTGTTGAATCACAAAATATCAGGAATTAAGGTGCAGAAAAAAGTTTAGAGTGAAGTATGTAAAACAAACTTGAAAGTGAAAATGTTTAAGTAAAACATACTTCACTCAAAACTTTATGCTAACGTTAAATAACTGTAAGTGAAAGTGAAAGTGTGAGAAGCATGAAATAGAAATAAAAAAATTTGACAAGGCTTTAGATATACTGCATAAAAAAAAAAAAAAAACAATAAGAAATAACTGTATATTTCTAACTTTTAATGTTGTAGATTTTTAATATTGTAAACATTTGACTATTTTACAGTATTACTCAGTGAGTTTTTATTATTTGCTTTTCTAGTTATTAGAAATAAGTAGAAAGCTAAATTTTTATCATAAATTTTATCATTTAATATATCTTGTTAATATAAATGTTGGTTGTTCTTTTAAGCTTTTATTCGTATTATTTATGACATTGAATGTCATAAACATAGTGAATGTCATTCTTTATGTTTATTATTATTTTTATATTTGTTTCAAAAACCATTTTGCTAATTTCAACTGTTTTTTAAAAAGGCATGTGATTATTCTAAGTATTTGATTGTTTATTTTATATATATATATATATATATATATATATATATATACATATATATATTTTTTTTGTTAATTCACCTCCTCAAGGCCGAGGAGGCTACTTATTTGTGGTTATATAATCCTCTCTCAACTCTATAACTCCGAAACATGAACCTTGACGAACAAGGCCACTGCATGGAGAAACGAGTTGAGCGCGATACTACCAGGGACGTGGCGGGGATTAAACTTGGAACCTCTCGCTTGTGAAGCGAGCGCTCTACCACTACACCACTACCGCATATATATATATATATATATATATATATATATATATATATATATATATATATATATATATATATATATATATATATATATATATATATATATATATATAACATAAATATAAAAATTCCTTGTATTCAGAAAAACATATTTTGACATTTTAGATTTTCTTTGTATACATACATTTCTATGAACAGAAGGGAGGGAAGTAAAAATAATGTGTTTAGAGGTTAATGTTGAAGTTTTAATCCTAAGTTTGTAAGTATGACAGAAATATCAAGAAAAATAAGTTGATTTCTATTAAAAAAATCAGAGAATTTTATTCCAGAATTATAGTGGCAACCCTGTTACTGGTTTGTTTGTCCATAACCAAGTTTTAAACATATAAGAAATGCGCTAGTTTGTTTAGATTTGCTATACGTTTATTCGTTAAAAATTTAATGCTTTATAATTTAGTTAAGAAATTCTTTATAATATAAGTTGATTGTTTTTCTTTCACCTAATTTATTCATTTATTATTATTACTGTTTCCTTTATAAATGAATACAATATCTAGGTATTTATGAGAATTTTCAAAAACCTATAAAAAATTTTATTAAATGAGTCAATTTTGGTTGCAGAAGTTACAGCTTACGTGAATGCCTGAGATTTTGCACAATGACTAAAACCAATGTATTTGTTAGTAATTGTATTAATCTTTGATTAATACAATTACTAACAAATTATGCATGATTTGTATACTCTTTATGCATGATTTGTATTCTTTAGAGGCATGGTACAAACTGCTTCCATTATATTTAATTTATATTACATTGCAAGTTAGAATAAAATAAACAATAATCTTTGACATTTAGCATTAATTTTTTTAAACAAAAATTAATGTTAAATGGATCCCAAACCTCCAAGACATGTTGTGTTCATATTAAAAAGAATGAAAAAAAAAAAGATTAAAACAAAAGATTAAATGAATACAAAAAAAAAAGTAATTTTTTTATTTTAGTTAAAGCCCCTTCTTTTGTTGTAGGCCTAAAAGTCAGGGTAATATATGCCGCATTCTACTGATTTAATAATTTATTAAAGTTTTAATCCTAAGAGTTTTAGTACATGATGTCATTGACTTTTGTTTGTTTACATAATCGATCTCTTGCGCAAACAAAAACAATCAATAATGTCATGTACTAAAACTCGTAGGAATTAAACAACTTTTAGGCCTACAATAAAACAAAGAAGGCGAGCTTCGACTAAAATAAAAAAGTTGCCTTTTCTTGGTCTTCATTTATTCTTTTGTTTTAATCAAAAAAAGTTTTGTTCAAACATTTTTTTTTATCATTCTCTTTAATATGAACACAACATGTCTCAGAGGTTTGGGATCCCTTTACAGATACATTAAATTTATATCACAAAAGTTAGTGCTTTAGTATTGTAAAGTGACATTAAAACTAAAACTAAGAAAAATTAATTTGAAAAATATAAAAACCAAAACGTATAATTTTTTTGCATAAAATAAAAATAGTAACAACAAATATTTATTTATTTCTGTATTAAACACAATTTAAACCCAGTTTATCAGTTTGATCACTTTAATTATATTTTTCTTAACAATATCTAAAGTAGTTACAGTAAATATTTTAAGAAAAAGTTTAAATACACAGTATAAATAGTTTAAAAAAAACATCAAACTATTTGGTTTTAATTGTTTATTTGTCAAATTAAAAAAAAAATTATACTAAATTTGATCCTACTGTCAACCATTTCCTTCTGCTAATTTCATTCTGCTTCTAAATTTTATCTAATTTTGAAAATTTTTTAAACTTAAAACAAGTAAAAAACTAATTACATATATGTATATATAACTAATGTTGCTATCAACCACATCAATTACTTTTATTTGTAAAATTTTAGCTTTTTTCTTCTAATGTTTTTCTGTTTTTAAGTAATATTTTTTTATAATCTTTTGCAGAGTTTCCACATCCTGTAGATATTCTTTCAGAGACAGAAAGAGGAGAAATAAAATCTACTACTTTGGAAGATTCAGGTTTTACATACATATAATTGAAATGACATAATTATAGTAATTATGAATGAGTATAATCTTTTTGAAAAATGTTTTTTTTATTGATCTATTGTGAACAGTGTTATCAGATTTAATAAAAATAACTAAATGAAAAATTTTTATAAATAAAAAATAATTAAAAACGTAAAAATTTAGTTATAAAACTTTTGAGAAAATCCTTTCTGTAACCACAACTACTGAAATCTTTCCTGTAACCACAACAACTGAAATCCTTCCTGTAACCATAACAACTGAAATCCTTCCTGTAACCACAACAATTGAAATCCTTCCTGTAACCACAACAACTAAAATCTTTTCTATAACCATAGTTAAAAGTAAAATTGAAATAAAAAAATAAAATTGCAAAAGTTTTTTTTTGCATTGTTTAAAAGTTCAAGACTTGTACTTCCATGATTGTTACACATTATATATAAAGATATCTATTGGAGATCTCTAATATAACTCTATTGGAGATCTCTAATATAACTCTATTGGAGATCTCTAATATAACTCTATTGGAGATCTCTAATATAACTCTATTGGAGATCTCTAATATAACTCTATTGGAGATCTTTAATATAACTCTATTGGAGATCTCTAATATAACTCTATTGGAGATCTCTAATATAACTCTATTGGAGATCTCTAATATAACTCTATTGGAGATCTCTAATATAACTCTATTGGAGATCTCTAATATAACTCTATTGGAGATCTCTAATATAACTCTATTATAATAATAAAAAAAAATTTTCAGAAAAAAAAATTTAAATTTTTAAGAGTTTTTTTATAAGTTTTAGAATCATAAGTTTAAAATCAAAATTTAAAATAACTTGATTTTATGTTCAGGTAATATAAAGAAAAATATTTCAGTTACAGACAATTCTAAATTTAAGTTTTTTTATTTAGACTGTTCAGGTTTTATTTAGACTGTTCAGGAAATAAACAGCAAATATATACGTTGGTATATAGCATTTATGTTATACGTTATATCCCAGTCTCGGCCAATATTACTGTTTAGTCAGGATTGAATCATCATGATTCATTCATAAATATTCATAAAAACTGACTCAATAATATCTTTAAAAACTTTGATTCATTAACTTAGTTTCAAATCTAGACCTGGCCCTGGATTTATTTTATCAACCCTGGCCTCTACCACAGTTAAATTTAAACCCTGTTGCGTTACTAACCCCCACACTTAATAATATCAACTAGGGATATATAGTCCCAAAAAAGACATTTGATTTGAAAGTCACAAAATGATAATTCCTCCTGGTTTTTGGTGTCCAGGAGCTTAAAAATTGTAAAGAGGCTTATGGGCTACTTTTGGGAAAATAGTTAAGACTTTTAGGTTAAAGGAACAATCAAATAATCAAAAATCAATAAGTTCCAAGTCATGTAATTTTTTTGGTACTCCACATCTCTTGTATCAAATTTAGACCCATGATTGTGCATAATAATTTATCACTATATTTTCTTTTTGTTATTAAAAAAAATAAAAAGTTGTAATTTTATTTCAAAGAAGTTTAAAACTTTATTTCAAATAAAATTTATAAAATTTAATTTTCCAATTTTATTTTTATTTTAGATGATGATGAAAAGGACGATAAAAAAGAAGTATTTTTTACTGTTTTGAGTTTTCATTTAATTTTTTTTATAATTCTTGATTATTCAAGTTTTGTTTCATCATTATTACATCAAATGTAATAATGATGAAACAAATTAATAATAAATAAAAAATGTGTTTTTACAATTTTATCTAATTCTATGGTTATAAATAGTGACCAATCAGAGGATTGATTAGGTACAGTTGGAGTAAAATAAAACTGGGACCCAGTTTTAAGATGAATTCAAAAACCTTTTCTTATAATGAGAAATTTTTAATAACATAGGGATAGAAATATTCAGCTTTAAGAAAAAATTTGAAAAATATTTTTTAAAGAACATAATAAAAATGTAAGTAGAAATATTCAGATCTTAAAGGTATTTGCTAAAGGACATAATAAAAATTAATCAACATTCAGATGAAATCAATCAACATTCAGAACTTGTTGAATATTTTTTTAACTCATCCTCAAATATAATCTCCTCCGTATATATACTTGATTAAATATAAACTAGTTCCTTATATCTTCTCAACTGTATGATTGCTTCTTCTTTATACTTAAATGTAAACTTGGAACTTATATATACTTAAATGTTAACTTATTCTTTGTATATACTTAAGTGTAAACATACTCCTCAGGTATATACTAGTGTAAACTTAATTTTTATATGTCTAAAAACATACATAGTTTATAACTTATCCAAGAAAAATTAATCAACTAAATTAAGTTTAAATTATTAAATTATTAAGTTAAAATAATTAAGCAGCATTTATTCTGATGTTGATATATGTGATGCCTGTGTTATGTATTGCCTGTGTTATGTAATGCCTGTGTTATGTATTGCCTGTGTTATGTAATGCCTGTGTTATGTAATGCCTGTGTTATGTAATGCCTGTGTTATGTAATGCCTATGTGATGCCTATGTTATGTGATGGCCAAGTTATGTGATGGCATTTTTTTTTATGATTGGTTAGTCAATCATAACATTGCATTTACAATGGCAGCGTTGCCTTTTTCTAATTTTGAAAAACATTGGTCAGGGTGGTACCAATTTAGTATCCACTCAAGGGATAGTTAAAATGTCATGAACTTTTCCTTGTGCATAAATAGCAATTATTCAATCAGTGTAATTTTTTAAATCATACTTTAAATAAATCAAAGCCAATGTCTTGTTTGGCCATTATCTAATGTTGGTTTGCTTTTAGGTCTATTCTAATCTTCTTTTTTTTTTTTGAAACAATCAATAAGTTTTTTTTTTTTTTTTTTTTTTCTTAATAAAATTTATGTAATTTGTTGTGAATTTTTTTCTAATCATTTCAAAGAAAATTTAGTAATTCTTTTAGATACTCTTGTATAAAAAATCACATTAAGTATACACGAAGTTCACATAAAGTATTTGTTTGAGTTCATGTAAATTGGTCACATAACTATTATGTAAAAATTGGTTTATTTGTATTTTATGTAAAAAATGTTTTAAACATTGCTATGTTTAATATTCAATTATACTTCTTACTTACTTTTCTTTCATAATTTTCTTATTTTTATTTGTTATTTTATATTTACTTTTTTTCTACAGTTGCTTAAAGGAACAAAAAAGGAACCATCATTTTGGACATTTGAATACTACCAAGCATTTTTCGATGTCGATACATATCAAGTAATTTTTTTATCATTATACGCATCTATTATATACTTGTTATGCTTAATGCTTTTCATTGAAATATTGCTTCTTTATATAAGCTAAATTATATAATTTAATAGCTTGTAAAAATTTGTCTGGATTTAAATCATGTTAATAATCTAATAGTTTATATTGTTAACAATCAAGCTTGTAAGTGCAGCTGTGGCGTTGTGGTTAGAGTTCTGGCTTGGAACCAAGAGGTACGAGGTTTGGCACTCACTCTAGCCCGATAAGCAAATTTGGTAAGGATAGAGACATGAACTTCTTAGTTAAATGCTTATGCCGTGCTCTATGATAAAACCTTAAGGACTTCTGGAAGCGGCCTAATAACAATAACAATAACAACAAAAAAAAGCTTGCTGGTTGTCAAATGTGTTTCAATATTGTGAATGTTATTTTTATATCCATTAGTAACATGGTTACCATGGTTACCATTAGTTTGTATCATTTTTACCAAATTATTCACCAGATTTATATTTTGCATTAATAAAATCCTAGTTTATGAAATCTATATAATAATAATAATAACAATAATAATAATAATAATAATAACAATAATAATAATAACAATAATAATAATAACAATGTTATTATTATTTTCAAGATTTAATGTTGATGCTTTTAAGTTAATCCTTTTAATGACAGTGTTTAAAGATATAAAAAAAATCAGTTTGAATACTTTTTAGGTTAGTAGTAAGTTCATTTTTTGTTATAAAATTTCAAACAGCTTTTAGATTAATGTTTAATCAATTTTCCAAATTTTTTAAAGTTTTAATGTGTAAAATAAATTTCGGCCAGTGTTGTAGGCCTAATTATGACATTATGAATTATGAATAATGTTGTATGCTAATAGTAAGGTTTTATTTTTATATCCAAAATATAGAGTAACATAATCATATATAGTATGCATCATATAAATCATTTAGACAAATAAATTTATGTTATGCTTGTTTTAAAAATGATGACTAAACTTAAAAGAGTACTTTAAAATGGATTTTTAATTTTACTCTTGAATCTGTTAACTGTTTATCCTATGACTTGGGTAAGCAATTCCATGAGTTTACTACTTGATTTGTGAAAAAAAGTGGATGGTTGAGACAACAATGATGCAACAAACCTAGAAAGAGTTTTATATTTAAAAGCCATAATACCTATTTTTTTTCCTTGTCAAAAAGTCTTTCAAGAGAGCTTTAAAAGTCAATTTTAAATTGTCTGATGTTAAAACTGGTTTGTTGTTGATAAATTATGATGATTATTCAAAAAGTTATTAATAATTATTTAATTTAATCGATGATCTTACAGGAGAATGAATTTATATTGATATAAGTAGGGGTTTTAAATATTTTGATTGGTATAAGTTATAGATTTTGGTATGAGTTATTAATATTTTGATTGGTATAAATTAGAGATTTCGATATGAGTTATAAATATTTTGATTGGTATAAGTTAGAGATTTTGTATGAGTTGTAAATATATTGATTTAATGATTAAAGTTTTTGATGGTTATAAAGTTTAAGTTCTTTATTTTATAAAGTTATAACTTAAAAAAAGTTACACTTAAGTTCGCTTTTTTTCTGTTTTTTTTAGCATTGTTGAATAAAATATAGTGGTAAACTCATACCATTTGTTTAGTACTTTAATTGGTGTGAATACAGTCAGGATCCTAGTAGTCAGGATCCTAGTAGTAGGATTCTAGTAGGATTCAGATGTATAAACTCAATTAAAATAGTTATTTAAAGTAAAAGATTATTGTGTATTATTGATGACAAAATTGTTTTTTTCTTCAAATGCTTTAATTTGTTGATTTGCTATTTACATATTTATACAATAGAACACATAGCTAGATGTAAATATGTTTGTTATATTTACACTGATAAATGTTTAAACCAAGACTCAAAAACATGTCAGATTTATATGTATAGAATAGTACTCTGGCTTAATAAATTATTTTGGTCAGTGACAGGAGACAGATTATTTATTTGTTGCATAGTTACCATAAGTTATATCGGTAGATATAACTTCAAAACAAAAAAGATAATTTAAAAAAAAAACAACCTACTTTTTAAATAAAAATAATTGTTATACAACTGTTGGACAGTTTTGTTTAATAACGAAACTGTCCAACAGTTTTGTTTTTTATTCTCTTTAAAATAAACTAAAAACTTTTATTTAAAGAAAAAAAAATTTATTTAGAGAAAGAAATTTTATTTAAAAAAAGAAATTTAGAATTTCAAAAAATAAAGTACTTTATTATTATTAGGTATTGAGTCGAATTCTTCACTCTGTGATACCTAGCTATCAAAATTATTTATTGACAAAAATTAGACCTAATCCAGACTTATACGGTAAGATGAGATTTTTTTCTTTTTTTTTTCAGACTTTATTTGAACTTTTTAAAATTCTTTTTTTTAATTTTTGTCTCTTTTTTTTTGTAGGACCTTTTTGGATATGTTCAACACTGGTATTTACTATTGCTATTTGTGGAAATTTATCAAGTTTTTTTGCTGCTGAAGGAAGTCTTATACATTTTAAATCAGATTTTCAATTAGGTAACTTTTTAGACAAGTTGTAATTGCACTTATTTTTAGATTCTATACTTTTAGCATTCATCAAACTCAACGAACATATTTTTCAAAATTTAGTAGTTTATAGCTCCTAATTTATTTGATTATTTATAGCTCCTAATTTATTTGATTATTTATAGCTCCTAATTTATTTGATTATTTATAGCTCCTAATTTATTTGATTATTTACAGCTCCTAATTTATTTGATTATTTATAGCTCCTAATTTATTTGATTATTTATAGCTCCTAATTTATTTGATTATTTATAGCTCCTAATTTATTTGATTATTTATAGCTCCTAATTTATTTGATTGTTTATAGCTCCTAATTTATTTGATTATTTATAGCTCCTAATTTATTTGATTGTTTATAGCTCCTAATTTATTTGATTGTTTATAGCTCCTAATTTATTTGATTATTTATAGCTCCTAATTTATTTGATTGTTTATAGCTCCTAATTTATTTGATTTAAAAAAAAGAGTTTTAAATTAAAACAAGTTTTAATATAAAACTTAAAATTTTTAAATTTCACAAGTTGATGTTATTAAAAAAAATCTTTAAAATAAATTATGACACTCTGTTTCAAAATTTTTTTCTTAAGTAAGTTTTCTATCATTAATTAAAAGCTCTGCTAGGGTGCAAGGGTGTTATTATGCTAGAATATTATTATGCAGGTTTGCTACTAAGCAATTAGGTTTTCTATCACTAATTAAACATGTTACTAGGGTGTAAGGGTGTAACTATGCAAGAATATTGTTAATGAGGTTTTATAATATTTATAATATGTGTTCATAATATTTATAATTGTTTCAAAATACTCTAACAAGTTTATTATTGTAATAGATAATATTTTTGCATATAGTATATATTTATAGTTTATGTGACTTATAGTATTTAGTGTATTGTGTTTAATTTGATTTTTATTATCCCTACCTTCCTTTTATCTATATATTTCTCCTTGTGCTTCTTGAAAAATATCATCATAATTTTTTAACCATAATATAAGAGCTGTTTTTAATGAACAACACTCTCTCTTTCCAATAACTTCTTTGGTACCACAAGGTTGGAGTACCATTCTGTTTTATTTCTCCTTTATGTTTATGATTTGATTATCTTACCTCTAGAATTATTTGGTAATGACACAATTATTTGTTAATTATACAATTATATACTTTAGTCTTTGCAAAATCTTATCACTTTTTAATTGCTTAGAACAGAGTACTTATCTTTAATCTCTACTCTCTGCTGACCCACAGTGACCACAGTGGCTGGTGAGTTTTAATTGGTAAAGTTTGATGAACAAAATCTTTTAAAACATCTTCATGCAATTTTTTTACTAGAACATCAATGCTTTGGAGTTCTCATTTTCAAGCTTCTTTGGCTCAATTTACAATTTTTGAAGTCTCTTTTCTCAATTCTTTTCTTAACTTTTTGTTAACTTTGAAATTCAAAAATGTTTGCTTGCAGCTGTCTTAAAAATGATTTTTTTTTTTCTATTTTATAAATTTTTTTATGTTATCTTTTAAAAAAAAAAAAGTTTAGTTTGATTTATAAAAAAAAAATTTTTTTTTTTTTTAATTTATATATATATTTTTATTAAAGTTTCACTCTCAGCATGTGTAATATTTTCCTATGGATGGGTTGTCCCAGCAATTTCATGGGGCTATTTAACATGGCGTGGAAATCCTGTAGGATTCTCATTTCTTGAAATAGTTTGTGTTTATGGGTACTCTTTGGCTATATTTATACCAATTTCAGTAAGTTAAATTTTTTTTATTTTGTTAAATTTTTGCAGTTATAATTGTTTTAATGTGTTATAATACATTTCTAGGGGTGGACATTTTTTATATTTTTTTCATAAAATCAATATGCCCTGTTACTACAGGTGGAGAATTGTTATAAAAAGTATTTTAAAAATAATTTTAACTAAAACAGATTCAAAAACCCTCTAGGCAAACTCGTTTTTTTGAAATGATAAAATTTTTCAAAAGTCAGTTATTGTAACAGATTGAAAAGTCTTGTTTTTAAAAGGAATGACCTTTAGACCTTTAGAAACTAAAATATTAGTTAAGAAAAACAAAATAAGAAATTTACATAAGACTGAAAATACCTTATGAACAGTGCTGTGGCCAGAGGGTCCCCCATCCCCAAATTAAAAAGCTTACTAGATGTATTACTTAAAAAAAATCATTATATTTGGAAAAAGGACCCCTAAATTTAAAAAAGGGTTCAGAAGTTTTATATTTTTAGTTATAAGTCTTTGAAAATTGCAGCATAGAAGTAAATATCAAAAGATCAAAGTTTATTAAAGTGTCTCAGAAATTTATCCTCTGTATTGAAGACGAAAATTATTAAATTATTTATACAAAGATGAAATTCTTTGTATAAATAATTTAACTTTCGCAAGCGACCTTTTGCACACTTCATTTGTGTAATTAATTTCTATTTGACAATCATTCCAAATATCACAGTGTCTTTCCAAACACTCAAGGCAATTATCAGTTAATGCCAATTTTAACTTCGTTATATTTTCAACATTTCTTCTGCAAGAGAACCACATATATATATATTCTGAAATAAGTTGTAAAATTTCACGGACTTTTACAAATAGTACAAGTACTAATATAAAGTAAAAACCTGCAACATTACAATAAAATAATAATGATAATAATAAAAATAAGAATAATTATAATAACAATAATAACAATAATAATAATAGTAATGGTAATAATTATAGTAATATATTCAGAACATTCAGTGTTAATATTATACCTTTAATCATACATCATACAAAAGTATTTTAGAATACAATCTAAACATTTGTTGCAATTTGTAATTTATTTATCCAAAATTTAGCTTCTGTAAGCTTTAGAAATTATTTAAAGAAATTATTAATGAATTCTGAGCTATGGGTACTAATATTTTTATATTGTTGTAATGTTTGTATTCACTCCTTGTTAGTTTCTGTAAGTCAAAACTTTTAGGTGTTTTCATAATAAACTTTGTTATATCTGAAATTTAGTGTAAGTCTATATAATTTAATTTCTTAAATCTGTTTTGCATTGCCTGTCTTATAACATCTTTACTTGGAACAAAAACCATGTGCTTTAAAAAGTGAGCTAGAAGCTTTTAATCATGAAGAAAATATTGTATTTGCTAATCCTAAATATATATTAAACCTGTCAGCAAAATGAGTTGTCAGTAATCCAAGTATTAGCATCATTAAAAATTAATCTTTGCTGCATAACATTTATTTTGGTCCAAGTAGTTAAGGATTTTTTTAAATTTCAAAAAACAGAAGTAGATATTTTTTTAGTATCACTTTATCTCTTTTGATTAATGGTGATACTGCACTAACTGATGAAACAGATTGGCAGATGTAAGGCCAGTATAAAAGTCGCAAGATCTATCATTTTTAAAATAAATGTTTGTGTACAAGCAAATTGCAATAACACAATTTGTTTGGGTTATGTTTCTATAAAAATTTGTTTCATAGTAATGTGCTTGAAGTTAATTTTTCAAATAAATCTTTATTTTTTTTAATTTCTTGCTGAAGTTCTTTTTTAAAGTTATCAATTTTTTTTTTTAATTCTTGATGCTATATTATAAAACAACGCTTAACATTATATTCAACATAATTTGATGGATCATTGTTTAAAAAATTTGTATTATTTACATTAAATAATATAAGTCTTTGAGCTTTGTAGCCTAAGTTAAACGAAAAATATCGATTTTTAAACAATAGTTCTCTGTCAGGAAAACTGTCTGAACATACTCTCATTTTATACTTTATGGTAAAAAATTTACTATGACGCAATAATGTAGGAGTTAATTGGTTAATTAGTTTTCTCTATATTTTTCTTAGCTGTAATTGTTTTTATATTGTTATATATCTGTGTGTGTATTGATAATGGATAACAAGTGCGTACTCAAATGGTAGTTTGCAGTTTCACAAGTTAGAGCTTCGTTTAACATTTTGTATCATACATAAATCATCTTTTCACATTTCTAGATTGTACTCGTTATTTTTACAATCAATGAGAGCGCATGTTTTTGATCTCTTGAAACTTCTATATGGTAAAGGTTCAGTATTTACATTTTTTTCCATTATAAACCTCTATAACTTAAACCGTTGAAATAATGTTTGTTTACGTTTTTACTTCCATTTCTGCGCGCGCATAAATTTTATATCGGAACTGTGAAAAGGCATATTCTATCCTGCATTTTAAATAGGCCCTGGTATAAAAAACTGAATTGCAGGTAAATTCATTCTTGACAAGACTTGTATCCTTTACATAACAAATCCAGTTCTGTATAATCATTCATGCCATATTTTTTAGTTTTAATAACTGGCCTATTAGGCTTGTATTTTTCAATTAAATCATGTTAGCTACTAATCAACTCATTAATGAAACAGTAATTAATATTAGGCGATGTTGAAAAGGATTCAAACTTTGCGTTCATAAAATGCTTACGAATCAGGTCAAGAACATAAAGTCGACTAGGATGATACACTAAAATTGGAACAATTTTTGTCAAACGCTTAATTACTCTATTTTAAGAACCTGTATTTACTGCAGTGGTGTCGTATTACAGAAATTTTATTTAATAAATTAATTTCCAAAATAATTGTGTCTAACATGTCATAAATAGAAACAGTTGCTTTTCTCTAATTTTTTCAAAGATACAACCAAAGGTTTAGACTTGCTTGAAATGCAAGTGCTATAATATTTTGTTTGTCTATGCTCTTACCATCAAAATGTAAGCACCACATTTCTTTCAGAATTCATGGACAAGTTTTGTAAATGTTTTTTGGACTGTGGATCTGCTAATCTATGTTGTATTAACTGCATTGAGTACAGCTTCTTCAATTTTGCAGTACAACTTATTCTATACCCTTTATTTTCAGATATCTTAGCTACCATTTTACCGGTGATCTTTGCACTTTACAATAGGATTGTGTAATCATCACTTGTACTATTATCTTCTGAACTTTCACTAATAGAATTATCAGTATCATCAAACAATTGACTATAATTTGTTTCAAGTACTTTTCTTTTAGGTTGCAGGTCTCATGGATGTGTTGTTATAGGCTCTGTCACAATACTTCACCTTCTAACCCATTGGAAGTTTTCTGAAGTTTGTAAAAGAGTTAGTCTTCCAGATTTTTAAATTTAGAGTTTTTGGACAATAAGTCAAATAGTTTAAAAAAATAACAATTTTTTAATTTTGAATAGCAGACAGTATAATAAATTGGTTTATATACATTTATTTTGTTCAAAAATATAGATTTATGATTTTTCCCATTAGTAAAATAAAAAAAATTATTTTACTTTTAATGATAAATTAAACATTTCAGATTATGTGGGTTGTTCCTTATGATTGGCTGAGATGGATTTTTGTGGCAATTGGTGTTTTAACTTCTGGTATGATTTTTTTTTTTTTTACTTTCAGTTTTTTCTTAATCAATTAAATATTTAATATTTTTATTTTTTATGATAAATATCAATGTTTTAGTACTCAAATTAATAAATTATATCTTGATGTTTGTCATTAATTGGACTATCATTTATGAGTTACTCACAATTTTTATTTAATTATGACAGAGTTAAAGTATATAAGCTAAGTCATTCATTTTTTAGGTTTATAGTCAGTCATTCATAGTCAAAGTCATTCATTATTTAGATTTATAGTCAGTCATTCATAGTAAAAGTTATTCATTGTAGTTATTCATTAAAGTATAAAATTATTCATTATAGTGTTAAAGTATATCATCAGATTTTAAGTATAAAGAGAATCTGCATAATGTGTTTATGCTAGAAGTTAATTTTTGTTGTAATATCACTAATAAATTAAGATTACTACGATTGGGTTGCCACAACTAAGAAGCCTCACCTGACTCCATGTGGTATATTTGTAGCAATAAAATAATATTTAATAATAAAGAAAATTTTTTATAATATGGATATGTTATTAATAAAAGTAATGAGACAATAATGAAATATAATGTAAACAATATACTATAATAATATATACTATAATACTATAAATAAATAATATACTCTATATATAAATAAAAATAAATATACTCTAATAATATGCGCTATAATGAAATATATAAAACTATTATAATATATACTACAAGGAAATATAATAAAACTATAATAATATATATAAGGAATATACTATAATGGTATATAATAAAAATCATTATAAAGATAACTAAAAGAGTTATGATTATAATTTTAAAAATAAAAACCTAATAATAGTATGAAAATATAATACGATATCTCAAAAAAAAAATCTATGATGACATCATTCACTGCAACTTTTATGAATTAAATGCACTTGAAATAAATTATCAAGTCAGCAGATTGTAGCGTTTATTATAAAGACTCTGAGAACCAAGAAGAAACAAAAAAAGGAAGCTTCAACTAAAATGACAATTTTAGTTTAATTGATATGCATTTGTTATTTAGTTTTAATCAAAAAATTTAGCCCAAATGTTTTTTTTTTAAATATTTTTTTTAATACAAACATGACTTGTCTTGGCACTTAGGGATCCCTTTAAAGTACTATAAAAAAAGTTATTTTTTCTTCATTTATATATATTTATTTATCACTCTAATTGAAGTTTTTTTTTAATTTTTTTTAATATTGACCACTCTTTTACAATTTTTTTTATTTTATTGTTATACAAAACAGCTTTAATATCAATATATATATACAAGGCCGGCGCATGGGGCTGTGTGACCCTCCTCCCATCAATGATTTTTTTGTTCATTTAGTCGACAAATTTGACCTTTTTTGAGAAGTCAGTCAGCAAATGTTGACCCTTTTAACAAGTTAATCAGTAAACTCAGAGAGTCAGTATGCAAATGTCGATAAGGCAGTCAGCAAATTTTAAAAGACGAGAACTCTTTTTTTTTTTTTTTTTTAGTTGGCAAAAGTTGTTTTTGCACTCACCCCCCCCCCCCCCCCATGAGACACCTACTCGCGCTAGCCCTGTATTTATACATATATATATATATATATATATATATATATATATATATATATATATATATATATATATATATATATATATATATATATATATATATATATCATATATATATATATATATATATATATATACTATATATATATATATATATATATATATATATATATATATATATATATATATATATATATATATATATATATATATATATATATATATATATATACACACACCCACGCAAACATTTAAATTAACTTTTTTTTATAGGATCGGTTTTGGTTAGAACTTTTTGGACAGCGTTGCAAGATGAAAGCAAAAAAGTTTGTTTAAGTTTTTTAAAGTTTTCTAACAAAGATTGTTTTTAACTAAATTACCAAGTTTATATTTAGGTTAAATATTAAAAAACAGCTGTAAATTTTTGTAATCCTTTGAATGTCTTTTTTAATTTATCAGTAATGTTTTCTTTTTTTGTTTGTTTTTAGTTAAGATCTTTGTTTTTTTGTTCGTTTGTATTAAAGTCTTATGTGTACTTTTGTTCTTTTGTGTGCAGACCTAAATACATTAGAAAAAGATTTAAAAAGAGACAAATGGCTAAATTTTTTATAAATATTAAATAATTATTAAATTATTATAATTATTATTATAAATTAATTTATTATATTAATATTATTAATATAATATATTATAATAATTATTATTATAAATTAAATAATTATTAAATAATTTTTTAAAGCAAAATTGATGCTTTATTATCTTATTTAAAAAGTTTGATACTAGTTTTGTCATTTTGATTAACAATTTTTTTCTGAAGCAAATTCTCATCTTCTATTCTAGATAAGAATATGATACAATACAAGGAAAATTAGATTAGAATATCATACAATACAAGGAAAACTAGATTAGAATATAGAATAGCTTAAAGAAAAAAACTTTTTACAAATTTTTTAGAATAAAGCAAATTCATTAGTTTTAATTTAATTTTTCACATAATTTTTTCTTTTAATTCAAAAAATTTGGCCTCAAAAGTACATAAATTTTAGATGATAGCTTATTGATAGCTTCAGATAGTAGACCTTATCATAGACTTTGGCTTCTTGTTTTGATTAGTTTTCTTGGAAAATTAGATCTTTTTTAATGCCTACAACAAGTACTATATTTAGAAACTGATTCTTGTTGGAGCTTATAGTGGCTGGTGCACTTTAGAATAAATTGATGTTGAGATATGTAAACTTAAAAATTGAAAATTATTTGTTCAAACTAATGAATTTAGTTTATTCTAGATATTTGGTTTATTCTCTTGGCTATATTTTAATCTTGCTTTACTTGTATTTGATGTAGTCATTAACACCATCAAAGGTAACAACAAAGCTATGACTTAATCAATCTTGAATATTGTGAAGATTACTGACGTGTTTATCACAAAATTGTACTAAACTAATTTTAATTATTAAAACTAATTTAAAATAATAGTATAATCAATAAAAATAATAGCAATAATAATAATAACAATAATGGGAAAAAAAAATTTTATTTATGTGTTGTTAGATATAATTTTTATCTAGGTGTTGTTAGATTTTTAAAGTTTTAGATTTCAACTTCAGATTTATTGAACTTAAAAAATTCAACTTAACAAAAAAGTTAAAATAGTTAATAAATTTTTATGAATATTTTTTTAGAATAAAAAAATTATGTGAAAAATTAAATTAAAACTAATGAATTTGATTTATTCTAAAAAATTTGTAAAAAGTTTTTTTCTTTAAGCTATTCTATATTCTAATCTAGTTTTCCTTGTATTTTCTTTGGTTTCTCAAATTAGGATACCATGTCAAATTTCATAGAGTTTAACAGCAAAACCCCTATATGGAAACATTTTCTGCAAAGAAAGTGATACAGCAATATGTAAACTAAGCCATTGCAAAGATTTACTGGCAAATCAACAAAAGCTCTTTATTGGCATCTACTTCAGTTACATAAAATAAATTTAAAAGCAGAACTGGCATGTTCTCTGACATGGGACGAAGAACTACAGAGTAAAAAAACTAAAATTAGTTCATATTTTTTCATCAAATATGAATAAAGAAGACAGTTTGTCTGAGGTTCCTGCAAAAGACAATGTAATGAAAAAAAAATTGGAAAACTATTACAGATCAATCAACAGTTATGCTTTGCTTGCAGTATTCATTTTGCTATTATTTCAGTTTTATATATGTCAGCATGAATTTGTACGGAGAGAGAAAGACAGCATGAATTTGTACAGAAAGAGAGAGACAGCATGAATTTGTACAGAGAGAGAGAGACAGCAAGAATTTGTACGAAGAGACAGTCGAGCAAGTTGATGATCACATTGAAAATTTGAAAAATGAATTTGAATTTAGTGAAAATTTGAAAAATGAATTTGAATTTAGTGAATGTTGTGAATCAGATAGCAATAATGATGGTGATTAGAGTTGCTTTATAGTGGATAGTCAAAGAATTGAAGACATAATAGTTACACACAAAGTGATTGGTCCTGGGGTTGATAAAGTTAGAAAAATTATTATGTGTTTTAAATGATTACTAACTAAAAATGATGGCTGTCTAAAAAATATTTTTAAAATGACTTTAAAAAAACCTTCATTTAATCAAAAATTGTAAAACAAGATGGAGCAGCTTACTATCAATGCTTGAAAGGTTTCATAAATTAAGAAATTGCATAAAAAATGTGCTTGTTGATATCAGTATTAGTTCTACAAAAATGTCAGTATGAGTGAGAGTGCTAATTCCAGTAAAAGTGGCAGTGGAAGCGCTTTGTTGACACGATGCAAACCTTATAACTGCTGACAATGTGTTAGAGTTTATGCTAACTATATTAAAAGAACTGAATACTACAACAAGTTATAAAGTTTTTAATGCATTAGCCTACAGAAGCCTCAAAGAGCGAAGGGCTGAATTAAGTAGTCTACTGCACTATCTACATTATGCAGAAAATAAATTAATGCCCATAGGTGAAGTTTTGAAACACCTTCAAATTTTAAAAATAAAAAAATAATGATAAAGCTTCTAAATAGATTAAGTGTAATAAATTTACTTCATACTACAAATCCCTTGGACAACATTAAAGATCTTGTAAGTTTATAACATTGTAAATTGTACTATGTTCTTCTTCCTTCCAGATGTTGTTTAGTGCTTTTTACACAAAAATTTTGTAGAAAAACTTATTAAATGTGCATTGATTCCACATATAAACAAGCAGATCAGTTTTTGGTGCTCAGTTGAATACACAATACAGGTTTGTGGAATACACAATACAGATTTGTGGTGCTCAGTTAAATACACAATGCAGATCAATTTGTTGTGTTTAATTGAATACACAACTTATTAAGTTGAATACCCCAACTTAAGTTGGTGAATTTATAAATTGCATCAAAGGTGCAAAAATGGTATCTATTTTATGTTCACTTATATACAATTATCACCTAAAAACAACTTTTTGAAAACAAAGTAAGAAAAAACAAATATAAAAATGAAGAATAATAAAAAACAAAATTTTGAACTTAGTTAACTGATTTTGTAACAGAAGAAGTTTTTCATAATCCAGAGAAATGAAAATACTACAGATTTAGATGATACGTTTCAGCTTGGGACCAATTAAATTATGGTTTAAAAGTTAATTTAAGCATATCAATAAATCCACAAAACAAAAAGGCAAATAAAATATTGAACAAACCTATCAATGCATGAAGTATGAGTACAGGGCTCAATTTAACAGTCGGACATCGCCGCCCCCTAGACTGTTTTTGAGATCTGATTTATGGGGGCAACCAACCATTGTTCATTTTTGCTGAAAAATCAACAATGGTTTGTTGCCCTCCTCTAGCAGATCTCAAGAATGGTCAGAAGGGCAGCAATGTCGGATCATTAAATTGAGCCCTGTGAGTGTGGAATAAATTCTGATAAGGTTTTTTGCGAATCTATTGAACCTAAAAAAGGTTTTTGGTTGATTCTCACGGATCTGAGTTTTATTCACTGAGAAAAGAAGTGTACTTAAAAAATTAAAAAAAGAATGGCCACTTTTTTCAAACAAATTTGATTGTAAACGACATAAACATTTAAACATTTTGTTTTTAGTTTTTTAATAAACTTAGTTAATAAGTTATGTTAAAATGTTGTACTTATTTAATTCGATTACAAAAATGCGATTTCTCCCATCAAAATTACTTCAAATCTTTATCGATCAAATGGAAATGAAAAGAGATTTTGTTACAAAATGTTTAAGTGTTTATCATGATGAACATATTACTTGGAATCACCATATTGATTATATAAGCACAAAAATTTCTAAAAACATGGGCATCCTATATAAACCACAAATCTATTTCAATAAGAAAGTCCTTATCCAACTTTATTATTCATTTATGCATAGTTATTTAAATTATGCAAACATTGCCTAAGGAAGTACAGAAAAAAATAAGTTGTAACTTCTTTATCTCTGTCAGAAACCCTTATCTTTAGAGCAGTAATTAATATTATATTAATTAATTATTATTTATATTAATTAGACAGTAATTTATATTAATTATTAATTATACTAATTAGACTAAAAAAAGATCCAAATTAATAATACAATTACTTTAAATATAAGCATATAATTTTTTTTTATTTAAATATAAGCTTATAAATTATTTTGATTAACTTTTTTTTTAGACTATAAATGAGTTTATTGTAAATGGTTTAAAAAAATTAACCCTCCCCCTTCTTCCTTTTTACAAAATAGAATTTTTATTTAAAAATTCAAAAATTCTTGCCACTTTCCCAATAAAAGCAGACTCAACTTAAAATTCCTTACTTCATCTGCCTGATTTTTGCTTTATTTTATTGAAATAATATGAAATGAACCTTAAATCTTTTCAAATAATATCTATCAGTTAATACTACCTGCTATTACTAACTTTTTAGCTGGAAAGTTGTTTTTTATCTATAATTTCAATTAAAGTTGTTAACTTGAAAGTTTGATCAAATCGTTTGATTTAATCAAACTCCATTTGATGTTTTGTTGATTACCCGACTTTTTTTTTTTTAAATTGCTTTATTTTTTAAATATAAACATTTTTAATTTTTATACTTTTTGTTTTCTAGGTTGCTTTTCTTTTCGTTCTTGCAATAATTGCACTACACACCATATTAGCCGTTGGATTTAAAGTAAAATTGTTTAATATTTATTTAAAAATAAAAGTATATATATAAAAAAATAATTCGCTAATTGAGTGTTAAAAAGTTTATTTATTGAGTGTGTGTGTGTGTTTGTGAAGTTATTTGTGTGTGTTTATGGGGTTCATCTGTAGTTTGTTTTAAAATTCCTTTCCTCTTATAATACTTTTTTATACACATAATAAATCTAGTTTTTATCGAAAAATGATTTCTCTAATTTTCGGAATTACATGAAATTAAATTCGGAATTCTGATATAATTCTGGAAATGCGAAAAAAAATACAATAGAAAAAAAAAGTTTCAAAGTATTTCAAATTAATTAAAATTTAATTTCTTAATAAAACAAAACAAATTCAATGAAAAAAATATAAAATATAAAAACATTTTTTTTTAATTCTGATTTTTAAAAAAGCCTCTTAGCATACACAAATCATCCAATGTCGTATCATTAAGTCTTGACCTGATTTTTGTTGAAAATATTTCAGCTATTTTTGATATTATCATAAAATTTAATTTTATTTCGTATTGCTGATTGAATTGATGGTTTTTTTAAAGCTCTTGTTCTGGGTTGTAAAATTGGCAGCTGGATTTTTTGCTGTAGCAATTTTGCCCCAAGGAGGGTTGAGTTTAACTTTTGATAGGTTCAAGTTAAGATTTTGCCAAGGAGGGTTCAGTTTAACTTTTGGTTCAAGTTAAGATTTGATATCAGAATCAGAGTCAGAATTCGTTGAATCAACTTCCCGAGAAGTTTCATTGTCAAGATGTCGGGCTAGGGTTAAAATAAAGTTATTTATTTCCGCTTTAGAATAAACAGAAATGCGCTTATGAATTTTTTTCCCTCTATCTCTATTATGCACATACTGTATAACATCAGATAAAATAGTTTTTTGGTTAATTTGGATTTTAGCTTTTTTTTCAATGCAAGGCCAATTTTGTTACCCTCACCTAAATCTTTTTTCGTTTATTTTTACTTCATTTTTTAAAAGTGAATGACTGAATACTTTAACTTTTTATATGAAAATATTTGGTGGTTTTTATAACTTTAGTTTCATATTCCATGCGGTAGTGGTATAGTGGTAAGAGCGCTCACTTTGTAAGCAAGAAGTTCGGAGTTTGACTCCCACCACGTCCCTGGAAGTACCGCGCTCAACTTAATTTCTCCGTGCAGCGGTCTTGCTTCTCAAGGTTCGTGTTTCGGAGTTAAAGAGTTGGGAGAGGGTTGTACCACAACTTACAACAACAACAAAAAAAATAAAAAATAAATAAAAAAATGAGTAGCCTCCTTAACTGAATATTTAAAAAACAGCCCCAAATTCCAATAATGGTCTCCTGATCCATGTACATTAACATTTATAAAACACAGTTTTTTAGTTTTTACTTTTTAGCGCAACAAAAAAAATTTGATTTCGAAAAAAGCTAACAATATAAAAATCTGAATTATCTCAATTTTGGCTTCTTTCTATTCCTGAATTTCAAATTTAATAAAAACAAATGAATTTCAGAATTCTGAAATTCAAAAATCTGGATTTGGAATCCCTATTTACATATTTTAATTCAAATATTTTTTATACACATTTTTTTAATTCAAACACAGCCAGATATTTTTTCTCTTATATATTTGTGTATAAAAGCATATTCAAATTGTGTGCAAAAACTTTTTCTTTAATTTACTGAAGGTTTTTAGTTACATTTTTAGTTATTGTTAATTATTTTAAAGTATTTACATTTTGTGTTGTTTTTGTAGTCTTTTTTTTAGTAATTTATTTTTTTACGTATTTATTAAATAATTTACATTATAATTACAGTACCGGTCGTAGGGGTTGCAAAGGTTGCCCCACACCAGAGCCCCACTTTTTTGCAATATCTTATAGGCCCCATTTTAAATAGCTCAAAAAAAATAATACCATTAAGATGGGGTCTTATTGATGTTATGTATAGTATCTTAAAGATTTTTTTGTTGATGTAATGAAATATGTTTTTTAACATTCCAAGCATTCAATAAGCTTTTGATTGGTTATGTGACTTTTCCATTTGAGTTTTGATGACATTGCAATTCCAAGATCTTTTTCAATATCAGAAGCTGCTAATATTTTGTCACATAGTTTATATATATAGCAAAGATTATTTTTTCCAAAGTGCATAATACAACATTTCACTATTAATTGTAATTGCCAGATCTCTGACCATTTTCAGGCTTGGTTAATTTCATTCTGAACTATTTTCAATGTATGAATTATCTTCCATCGCATCATTTGTAGATTCATCCAGAGAACTACCGATTTTACCTCCAATGGTTTGTCTCAAGAAGGAATTAGAACAACTATTATAGTACATAGCCTCAGCAGCAACTAAATCATATTTATTTTTAATGCATGCAGTAATAATTTTCTTCTACGTCATCAGGCCGACACAACCCTCAGAATTAGTTCTTCAAATTCAAGAGTAACTTCCATAGTAATTTTCTCAAACAAAAATTGGATTTACTTATGCGAGCTCTGGTATGAGATGGACTAATTTTAGATTTACTGGGTTGATCCATATGTTGCTGTATTTTAAATGCACCAACAGTACTCATCCGAGCATACATTTTTAGGCACTTCTCACAGACTTTTGACCATCCAGGAATTCAAGAAACCCTTAATTTCTATCATCACTAGAATCAATTAAATTCTTTGTTCTACTATCAACAACAACTGTTTTACTTGCTGTTAAAGGTTTACCACAAATTAAACATAGTTACGACATTTTATAAAAGTATTAAGCAGGTCAAATCATAATAAGGACTGTTAATGAGGTTGGTCTAGACCTTACTTAACTCTTTTAAGCTCGGTCTAGGTTTCATTATTATAGACCCAAAACACGTCAAATACAAATCTGTTAGACCCATTAACCAAAATGAATAGGACATAAATCTGTTAGACCCATTAACCAAAATGGCATACCTGACCTGTTTGGTTACAGGTCTGGTGGTTTTTGGGTCTATAATAACGAAACCCAGACCCGCTTTAAATGGGTCGGGTCTGGGTTTAGATTATCTTATTTCTAATAAAAAACATTGTTTAATAACCACATGTATTCCCTACAAAGAAATGTTTATAAAAAGTCAGAAAAACTTTCAACTAAGACAAACTTAACGCGCATTATTAGGTATACTGTTATGAAATATTTTTAGTATTTTTAGTTTTTTAAGTACTTTTAGTAAACTTAGTTTTAAACTTAGCTTAAAAAAGAAAGTTTAAAAAGTTATGCAGTAGTATATTTGTCATTTATTTTTATTAACAGGGCTCATAAAAATGCACTTTAAAAAAAAATACAGACTAAACTAAATAATTACTTTTAGGTTTCTATTTTTTATTATATCAGATTATAAAAAATTAATTTTAACTAAATGTTGAACGGCCTAATTATAACTAAATGAGAACGGCTAAACAGTAGAACTCTCTAAAACTTTAAAATATTTTATTGTTTGTATCCAAGATCAGAGAAAAGCCGCAGGAACGTATTTTTTAGTAATAAATTACAGTAAAATGTATTAGCAAAAAAATAAAATAATAAACCTTTGACCTTGAATAACTTTTTTTGCAGATGTGGGATCAGTGTGGTCTTTAATATTTTATTTGTAATAACGTCCACAATGTCTGTACCAATTTTCAACTTTATGCAAATTATTGTAAACTTATTGATCTTGACTATTTAGCATCTTACTCTACATAAAACCTTCGTAAATTAGTTCTAAGAAAAGAGGTTGCTTTTTAATAAAAAACATTCTTATTACTTGTAATAATTTTGCATAACGTCGGCTGTATTTATTTTGCATAACGTCGACTGTATTTATTTTGCATAACGTCGGCTGTATTTATTTTGCATAACGTCGGCTGTAATTAATAAAGCAGAGTGGGGAGAAGTGGGACATTAAAAAATATTTCAAAAATAATTTTAATATTTTTTTTATATAATGTATGTACTACAAGTTTTAACAAGTAATGCATTATTTTGGCCACTGATTTCATCCCCTAAAGTTGACACCAGATTATAATAAAGTTATATGTTTTTGATTTTAGAGAAACTGTGTCATTTGGCTAAAATGGGACAGACAAGTAACAAACAACATTAACAAAAATTATTAATTAAAAACTATTAAAATTGTAAACCACGTAATCTTCATCAAAAAGGTATCCACAATATAATTATACAAAAATGATATGGGAGAAATTGAGATCAATTAATTTTCTTTCTCACACTTTATTCCTCAAAAAAGCCGGGAGACGAGACGATGTCTTGTAATTAGAGGGGATTTTTCTTTTTTAAATAAACTTATTGTTTACATTAGATAACATTGGTTAGGGACCTTTCCTGATTGAAAACGAACGTTCTAAATAAAACTTTTGTTTATATTTTAATTATTTTATTTATAATTAAAATAAGACGTTCGTTTCTCCGTTTTTATTTAATTATTTTATTTAGAAATTATTTTATTGTAGTTATTTTATCTAGAAATTAACTTTGTTTTAATTATTTTATTTAGAAATTAATTTTATTTTAATTATTTTATTTAGAAATTGAAACTTTTGCTTATCCGCATTTTTTTTAAATTAGTTTATTTGAAACGTTCGTTTTGCCGTTGTTTTTTTATAGTTTTCAAAATCGCGCACGCCGTACTTTTTGATGTTAATTTCAAAATGTTGTTGTTAATCTCAAAATGTTGATGTTAATTTTAAAAGGCTGATGCTAATTTAAGAATATTGTCTTTAATCTCAAAATATTGATGTTAATCTATAAATGTTGTTGTTAATCTAAAAATGTTGATGTTAATTTAAAAATTTTGATGTTAATCTGAAAATGTTGATGTTAATCAAAAATGTTAATCTATGTTGATTTTTTATTCCTAAATATATTTTAAAATATTATGGAAGCAATTTTAATTGCTCAATACTTACGCTTAGATTTTTTTACTTTAGCTGTATTTCTTTAAATCCATCCGTTATGATGTTCTTTACTCTCAAGTAGTTGCGTCTGTTTTGCCTTCAAAAGGAAATCTTAATTCGCATAGTACAATGAAACCTAACGGCTAGTTTCTACCTATTTAATATTTTTTTGGATATGTAAGATAATCATGGATTATTTATTTCTCTCCATAATAAAACTTTATATTGTAAATTATTATCTTGTAATCTGTTTTTCAGTTTTATTGTAATTTTGCGCGCTTAAAGCAATATTTGATTTATTTTTTATTACACGTGACGAGTTTCGTGTTTTACACAGTTATTTTCTTATATCACTCTGGGTGTTCTTCGGCAAAGAATACCGTCGCACTTTAGGATATATTTAATATCGATTAGAGCATAGAGAAATTTAGAGTTTTTTCCGTTTTTGCTGGGGAAAATTGCTAATTTTTTTATGACCTAATCGACATTATATATGCGTTAATATGCAAAAAGTTACATGATTATCGAAAATAAATTAATATGGAATAAGTTGATTACATATGAATCGCTTACTTGAAAAAGGGGGCATGTCCTGCAAAAATTCACATAACATGTCCCCTTTTTCTAGTTAGTGATTCCTATATAAACATAAAGCTATTTATAATTATGATTTATAAATTGCGAAAAAATGGCGTTAGAAATATTTCATTAGTGTACAACAAATGTGCAATATAAAAACTGGAAAGATTAAAATCACTTATAAAATTTGTCGTTTTATGACATTCAATTTAAATTAAAGATAGCAATCCCAAAATCCCGGGATTTCGTAAAAAATGTTCAACCCGTAATCCCAGGATTAGTCTCCGAAATTTCCCGGGATTTCGGGATCGTCAAAAAAAAGGAAAGGTTAAGCTTATAATTTTAGTTTAGTAATTTTAAATCTTCTTTGGTATATTAGCTGTTTGGTTGTGTATTTATTATCTTTGCAATGTTTTCCTTTTAAAACTCTCATTTTCTGTATTTTACTAAAAATAAAACTCAAAACATTGCTTGTCTGCAAAATGTATATATGTTTATTTATATATATATATATATATATATATATATATATATATATATATATATATATATATATATATATATATATATATATATATATATATATATATATATATATATATATATATATAGAAGGTATACATTAATTTTATTTTAAATTTTCTGCTTCCAAAAGTATGCGCGATATTTCCAGTTTTATATCCATTCATTTTAATTTTCAAATGTGTGATTTATGAAAGTTTTTTTTAACGTCATACATATTAATATTATTTTTTTTTTTTTATTTATACTGTGTTACCATTTTAAGGTATTGTTTTATATAATACTTATAATACTTATAAATTATCATTAAATTAATCATTTTTAAGTGTTTGATAAGTGCTTAAAAAGTATTCAATTGCATTTGCGTTTTTTTCTATATTTAATCCCGGGATTTCCCGGGAACAATCCCGAAACCCCGGGATTGAAAATTTCCGGGATTTTTGACATCCCTAATTTAAATATCATATATCTTGGATTTTCGAATAAACGCGCAGAATAACTAACTTAGCTGAATTTAAATTGCTAAGTTCAAAAATTATTTTATAAATATATGAATTGTAAGACCAAGTCTTAGGTAAAACAACTTTAGTTTTTTACTTTATGCTAGATTTCTATCAACACCAAGTTAATTAAGTTTATTACATAACAAAAATAAAATTAGAACTCAATCAGAATATTTCTTTTAATTTTTTTTTTTTTTTTATAATTTTGAAAAATGGACTTGATTTGAAGAGACATAACTCCTTTACAATGAACCGTTGTCTGTCTGAAGGGTAAAATCTGTATAAGATCATTATCAGCTTTAATAAGACAATTTTTGATCTTAATACGTAATTTTATGAAATTTTCTACTTGCAAATATTCTCGTATACAAGACTTTTCAAAATTCTTTAAAATTTGTTTTTCTTTCTGTTTAACATAGTATAAATTTCAATTTTACAATGCGCGTATACATATATATAAAATAAAAGACAATGCAAAATTATATGCTGAAATTACAACAAAATAAAGCAGGTGGAGGCTATAAGAAGATAAGGATAACATTACGTTTTCGCAATCTTTACTTAAAGCGCCTTTATAAAAGCTCAAGTAATATATCGTACTGGTATAAAGCTCGTAGAAAAGAAAAATGCAATAACAAAGTTACCGTTTTAATAATCAAACAAAAATAAATTAATTTAAAAAAAGAAAAACCAATATAGCGGGAATAATTGTTAAAAAGTTGCTTAAATCGTTTATAAATGGGTTTTAAGGGTTCTTTTAAGCCACAAATTAAAAATTTGACAAAAAAAAGTTTAAAAAAAACAAAATGGTGGATCCAATGTGTCCTTAAATGCTAAAAAATGGATCAAATAATGAAAGTTGGTGTTAAATATAAAAAAAACATTTTGTTTCAGTTACAATCATTTTGGTTCTTTTTCATCTTGATCTGTCTCTTTGTTGAAATCTTCATTATATTCAAAAAATGTTTCCTCCGCATCTGCGTCAGAGTTTTCATAATATTCTGCTACAAAATGGCCGAATAAGTAATATCTGGTCCGTGGATCAGCAATCTATGTACTGATGTTGGCATGTTGTACGAGAGATATTCTTTGATATATATTGTCTTGCAGTAGCTAAGGTGAAACCTCAAAATTTTTCAACGTTAATTTTAAGTCCACTCGAAATTGTTTGCAAAATTATATGAAAACGGTGAGATAATTCTTCGAAAACACCAATTATCAAGGATGACGTTTGAGTGTTTTCGAAGAAACGTCGAGTGGTGTTTCCGTCGTTCATGCTGTCGAACCCTTACTTTGGTATGTCAACTAAAATTCCTAGTTGCTGTTTGAAAGCTTTTTGGATACTAGCTTTCATTGTTGCGTTTTCCTGGCTATCTTCTTACGCGCTTGCCATTTTTTCGTATTTTTTTTGTATCCTAAATGAATACAGCATTCAAAACATCGAATCCAGACGTGTAGAGTTGACAGTCTGTACTGTAGATAATCAGTGGTTACTGGTCTTTACAAAACTTCGTCAATGTTATTAAATTGCTTGGAAGTTGCTTGGCAGAGATAACACCGTTGCGCAGATTTTGTATTGGTGATAGCATTGCGTACGTTTCCTCGAATTCCTTTGTAAATTGCAATTTCAGAGGTCTGTAAAAGAGGGTTACAGACCTCTGAAATTGCACTTCGAATTACTCCATAAGAGATTTTCTTTTTTGTTTCTTGATTTACATCAACAAATTGAAATGGAACAAGCGAAGTAAAAAGTAAACTTGCATCTGATATATTCGGATCTTCAAAAGTCGTTTTATAAATGCTTTGTCCGGATGTTACGTCAAAGCCCTACTCACAAATCAAAGTCATATTCAATATTTCTGAATCACTCTTATATGTAATATTGTCTTGGTTTAGCAGTAAAACACGTTGAACGGTGTGATCTAATAAAGCTTGCAACTATACCTCAGCTTTTGATTCGGTAAAAGGTGTCGTCTGAAGGGACTCAAAAAATAACTTAATAACTTGTGGAGTACCCCAAGGTTCTATTTTGGGACCATTATTGTTATTACTTTATATAAATGACTTATATTTATCATCAAAAGTATTAAATACTATCTTATTAGCAGATGACACTAATTTGTTTTATTCTTACAAAGATATTACTGTTCTTTTTAAAATATTTAACGAAGAATTAGATAAAATCAACGAGTGGTTTATAAGTAACCGACTATCATTAAATGTAGAGAAAACAAAAGTTATCCTATTCCATAAACCTAGTAAAGCCGAGAATATTCCTCTTAAACTTCCCAATCTTTTAATCAATAATAAAATAATTAAAAGGGAATTGACTACAAACTTTTTGGGAGTGCTCTTAAATGAAAAATTGTCATAGAAATTTCATATTAAATATATTGAAGGTAAGATCTCAAAAAATATTGCTATGTTATACCGAACAAAACCTTTTCTTAATAACGAGTCTTTAAAAAATTTATTTTTTTCGTTTATAAACAGCTATCTTTCATACTGTAACATTTCCTGAGGTAGCACTAATCACACTAAACTCAAAAAAAATTATAGTAAACAAAAACATGCTTGCAGGATAGTATTTGGGGCAAATAGAAAAACACAATGCGAACCTTTCTTACGTTAGCTTGAAGCTTTAAATATTTATAAGTTTAATATTCATCAAGTAATGTTATTTATGTTTAAAGCAAAACTTGGGTTTTCTCTAGTAACATTTCAATCCTACTTTAATGAAATCTCCCATAAATATCCAACCAAATTTTCAGTGAATAACTTTGTGGTTCCCATAAACCTTCTTAAATTAAGTTCGTACCAAATTCAATATCGGGGACCTTAAGTTTGGAAAAAATTTCTTCCAATCTTTAGTAAAAAACAAAACTTCGTTTTAAACTGCACTTTGCAATGTTTTAAGGATAATTCAAAACAGCATTTACTGAACATGGAATTCGATATATTAGATTTCAAATACCTTTTTTCAAAACAATTTAAAGGTTTAAACTAAATCACTTAAAAATAAATTAAATCTTTATCACTTTCTATAGCTTTTATTAAAATGATTTCAAACCATTAGTATAAAAGATAACGAAAATAAGATTGCATTTTTCGTTCATATTTTTGATGATATTAAATAATCAGCCCAAATACTTATGTTTACATATAATGCTTTTTTTGTTTTTTATTAAACAACGCATTTTTTTGTGTATTTTTATAACTTTCATGGTTTTCTGTCGTTTTTACTTTTTTATTTTTAAAATTATTCTTCTGGAAGATTGTTGGCAACAAATTATTTTATTGCTGAATTTTATGGATTGTTTTTGTTTTTGTATTTATACTGTCTTTTTGTCTTTTATCATTTATTGTGCATGTAAATTTTTGTGTGACGGGGCTCGGTGATAAGACAACCTGTCTTCTTCTTGCTCCGGCCAGGATTTTCTTTTATTGTAATTTCTTTTTTGTAATATTTATCAACGGCAAAATAAATAATAAAAAAAAAAAAAAAAGGTAACAACTTTTTTTTGCTGCCAATACAGCTGAGTATGGTGGATAAAATATGGTGGATTAAAATGTATTTAAGCCTCTTTTTTTTTTTGCCTGATTTCTCAAAAAATTTAAAAAAACCTTT